GACTCCTGAACCTAAACGGATGGAAGCGATTCTACTCAGGCGTCGATATCACGACGCGCGCGGAGGCCGGTGTTGATGTTCTGGCGAACCGTACCTCGCAAATAAAATCAGTGATTGAAAGACTGCCACCAGATGGATGGAAATCCTCCGACTCAAGTTACAATAGGCTAAAGCGTTGACCTTGGTACAAGTCTATGCGCCCAATTTCCTGAAGAATTGAAATGTGCTCTATACGAAGTGCCGACTAACTAGTCCATCATTCAGATAGACGATTTCAATGCGTATCTTGGAACAGACATTGAAAAGTAGAAAGGCATGATTGGATACGACCCTAGTTGTCTCAATAATAGCGGCATGAAGTTGCTGCGGTCTTATGCGAACAACGGACTGTCCATTATGAACACCTTCCTCAAGCATCGAATAGAACACCAGCATACCTGGTACCGAAAAGCTTGCACAGAAGTCGATGATCGATTTGATAATCGCATCGTCCGACTCAAAACGCTCAGTAATGAATGTTTGCGTTAAGAGAGGCGCAGAACTATCAACCGATCACCACTTTGTCGTTGGCACGCTGTGCTGCAAGAAAGGAGTACCATACAGTGATCTGGTGGAAAAAGTAACCTGAGAATCAAATGGAAAATTTTCTTCGGTCGAACACGGGAGCGAGATTCGCAAACCACATCGCACGACGGCTTGAATAGACCCCGTGAGGATCACTGATGTTGGAACCGAGTGGCACGTCCCTAAGAGCGGCAAACGTGAGGCTGCCGTCAAATAACGAATTGGCGAAATTCACGAATTGGCCTGCCTCCTTGAGATCAGGAAAGATCTTCCTTGGTTGACACGAGAGGTACAACTGGCAAGTAAAGGGAAATAGTCAGCGCTCAACGAATGGCTTGAAAACAAATGGCGATCTACTCTCGTGCGACTTGTCGAGGCACTCAAGGCGGCAGCGAAACCAGTGGCGAAAGCCAAGGCTGATCCCTTAGGAGAAGTTTTCTGAGGTGTTGGAGGCGAATTTCCACACGGCAAACAAGGTGTTCTAGGCAGACCATCCGCCGGCTTCGAGGTGAAAAAAAGGGCAGTCTCACAGTCTTGAAAGACAGGTCCGAACAACTTCTCACCAAGGACGAGAATATTCTTCAGCGATGGAGAGAGTACTATGAAGAACTCCTTAACAAGGAGCATCCGCAAGAAGACCTGCATGTTGAGCATAAAGGAACGGATATTACCATATGTGTAAATGAAATTACAAAAACTGTGATTGGAATTGATGAAATCCGCCCCTGAAATGATCAGCGCATGCGTTGGCTTACGGGTTTCTGACACACTGCGATGACTCCGTGGGAGAAACCAGCGGACTGCAGAATGGAAGTTGTTGTACCCCTATTGAAGACGGGAGACCGCAAGGAGGGTTCCGTTTATATGAGTCTTACGCCACTGTGTCTCTCATTGAAAG